ATTGAGACAAGTACATACTATAGATGGATATGCTTTGTTCATATTTCATGCCTGCAGTTTACAACCACTTTAAGTTATACCCTCCTTAACTGTTGTCCTACTCTGCCAGCAGTTGAGTTCTAGGTGTATGGAGCCAGAGTGGGTGAACCATATACCATAGACTAAAACATCAACAATAAGGGTAAACTGTGAAAGGACCCATATACAGTTGCAAGAAAAAGTATGTGAACCCCTTGGGATTACGTGGAGTTTTGCATGAATTGGGCATAAAATGTGCTCTGAACGTCATCTAAGTCACAACAATAGAAGAACACAGTCTGCTGAACATAATACTACACAACATTAGATGTGCCATGGTTTTATTGCACATAACATGTAAACATTCACAGTGCAGGGAGGAAAAAGTATGTGAGGCCCTAGTTAATGACTTCTCCCAGAGCTAATTGGAGCCAGGAGTGAGCCAACCTTGACTCCAATCAGTGTGATGATATTGGATGTGTTGCTGACAGCTGTCCTGCCCTTAAAAAACACACACCTGTTTTGGGTTTACTGGTTTCAAGAAGCACTGTCTGATGTGAACCATGCCTCGCAGAAAAGAGCTCACAGAAGACCTACGATCAAGAATTGTTGACTTGCATGAAGCTGGAAAGGGTTACAAAAGTATCTCCAAAAGCCTTGATGTTCATGTGTCCACGGTAAGACAGACTGTCTACAAATGGAGAAAGTTTAGCACTGTTGCTACTCTCCCTAGGCGTGGTCGTCCTGTAAAAATGACTGCAAGAGCACAGCGCAGAATGCTGCATGAGGTAAAGAAGAATCCTACAGTGTCAGCTAAAGACCTACAGAAATCTCTGGCACATGCTAACATTTTTGTTGACACATCTACAATAAGGAAAACATTAAACAAGAATGGAGTACATGGGAGGACAGCACGGAGGAAGCCATTGCTGTCCAAAAAGAATATTGCAGCACGTTTGAAGTTTGCAAAAGAGCACCTGGATGTTCCACAGCACTACTGGCAAAATATACTGTGGACAGATGAAACCAAGATTGAGTTGTTTGGGAAGAACACACAACACTATCTGTGGAGAAAAAAAGTCACAGCACACCAACATCAAAACCTCATCCCCACTGTAAAACATGGCGGAGGGAGCATCATGGTTTGGGGCTGCTTTGCTGCCTCAGGGCCTGGACGGATTGTTGTCATTGATTGGAAAATGAATTCCAGAGTTTATCAAGACATTTTGCAGGAAACCGTATGACCATCTGTCCGCCAACTGAAGCTCCGCAGAGGATGGGTGATGCAACAGGACAATGACCCAAAACATACAAATAATTCAACAAAACAATGGCTGCAACAGCACAGAATACGCCTTCTGGAGTGGCCCACTCAGAGTCCTGACCTCAACCCGATTGAAATGCTGTGGCATGACCTTAAGAGAGAGATTCACACCAGACATCCCAAGAATATTGCTAGACTGAAACAGTTTTGTGAAGAGGAGTGGTCCAAAATTACTCCAGATCATTGTGCAGGTCTGATCTGCAACTACAGGAAACGTTTGGTTGAGGTTATTGCTGCCAAAGGAGGGTCAACCAGTTATTAAGTCCAAAGGTTCACATACTTTTTCCTCCCTGCACTGTGAATGTTTACAAGTTATGTGCAATTAAACCATGGCAACATCTAATGTTTTTGTAGTATTATGTTCAGCAGACTGTGTTCTTCTATTGTTGTGACTTAGATGACGTTCAGAGCACATTTTATGCCCAATTCATGCAAAACTCCACGTAATCCCAAGGGGTTCACATACCTTTTCTTGCAACTGTAGATGGAATAGGTGGCCAATGTGGCATTCTCAAACGTTCAGGAAACTTAGGAAAAAGTTACTGACCCCCGGCAGCCCTACCTCCTAGGCCAACCTTTCTTTCCCCCCACAGCAGCTCTTGAAACACTTTTCAGGTCTTGGAGGACCCTTGTAAAAACCAATAAATTTGTGGTCAGTGGAAAAAATGTCCCTTTACAGCAAAGGTCAGAATGCTATCGTTACAAACCACTAAAACGTTAATTAGTGTCATGCAGCTCGGCCTTAGCCCTCGAAATATGTAGACACCATAAAATGTTAGATTAATCATCCACAGCTCAAAGAACCCCTAGCAGCCAATGGAGGAACCCTGGTTGAGAATGACTGGCCTAGGCCACAGAATCTATTGACCATGCAGAAATCCATCCCTGTCCCAATTTTTTGGAACAGACCTCCTCAGGTAGCCATAGACATTTGTACATTATTACTACTAAACTAAAAGAGCTTTCAGGTTCCATTTAACAATACAATATAGCGCACTAGTTTAGAAAACAGAAGAAGATCGAGGATCAGGGCATTGCAGCACGTGCAGACATTAGTACTAGCTGCTCACAAATAACCTTTATCCTTTCTACCATCGCTCAATATCAGGAGGGCTCCACTGCCCTCTTTCTTCCTTCACTTTCACTATGAGTTTAACCTTCAGAAAGGGGATTTTTAACCCTGAGATAAGGGAAGCTGTAAGCCAGGACTATTTGTTCCTTTTCCTGCGATCATAAAGGGAAAATGTAACTCTTTCAGTACTGCTTACAGGGCAACATCTTTCACAGTATATATACAGTAATGTTTGCACTTTTTGGTTAGCTTTTAATCAACGTACCATTATCTGCCCTTTTGCCCATACTGGGAAAATTAGCATATTAATTTTAAAGCCGAGACCATAAACCTGCATGTAGGCAGGTGCAGTCTACAATCTCTACTGCCAGTGGTGGTCGTCCGTAGAAGCATTGCAACTGGAGGAGAAACATGGGACAAACTGGGTTTCTCTATGGCTTCCCCAGTCCTCTGCCCCTGGGTTTTGGCACGCTTTGTGCGAATGGCTAGTGTAAGGACAGGATACCTTTCCGTCAGGGACAGCACTAGCGGTAGGGAAAGTTTCCTGAGGAGTAGGAAAAGAGTAAGGCCTACACCTTCTTTGGAAGCAAGCTCCCATTTGGTTTAAACCAGCCAAGCCACTTTCTGCTCCCTTTGGCAGACGATTTCCATAGCTAGGGCCTACTCATCACTGATTCTGAACTGCTGTATGTGTCCTGGTCAGGTGAGCCTCCCCACCAGGCTTGTACTGTTTTACAAGCTTTGCAATACATCATTTCTGACAATCTGGGACTCTGTGTTTACTGCTGCAGAACCACGTTGCACCTACCCAATATGTTAGTAATTTAGTAAGACCTCATCTGGAATATGCAGTTGAGTTTTGGGCACCAATTACAAAAAGAACATTGGGGAACTGGAGAAAGTATAGAGAAGGGCAACTAAACTGATAAGAGGCATGGAGGAGCTCAGCTATGAGGAAAGATTAGAGGAACTGAATTTATTCTCTCTTGAGAAGAGGAGATTAAGGGGGGATATTATTATTATTATACAGTATTTATAAAGCGCCAATAGTTCGCTCAGCGCTGTACATTACAAAGGGGGACAGAACATGTGACAGAACAATACCAATACAATGCAAAACATGAGGGGATTGAGGGCCCTGCTCTTTCGAGCTTACAATCTAGGAGATATGATCAACATATATAAATACATCAGTGGTTTATATAGTGGTCTCGGTGTAGAGTTATTCTGAGGTCATCACAGAGGACAAGGGGGCACTCTTTATGTCTGGAGGAAAAGAGATTTAATCTCCAAATACAGAAAGGTTTCTTCACAGTGAGAGCTGTGAAAATGTGGAATAGACTCCTTCAAGAGTTGGTTCTGGCCAGCTCCGTGGATTGCTTTAAAAAAGGCCTGGATTCTTTCCTAGATACACAGAATATAACTGGTTACTAACATTTATACATAAAGTTGATCCAGGGAATATCCAATCGCCTCTCGAGGGATGAGGAAGGAATATTTTTTCCCTACAGGAGCAAATTGGATCATGCTTTGCTGGGTTTTTGCCTTCCTGTGGATCAACTGTGTGTGTAGGAATATACCTTTTTTTTAATGGTTGAACTTTTGTCTTTTTTACAACCAGACTATGTAACCATGCAACTATGTTCCACAAGCCTCCCAAGATAGGAGCAAGTCAAAACTTGCACAGGGTTATGAATACATCCCTACCCCTATATGACTGCCTCATGTATTATGAAAGGCTGCATAAAAAATGACCATTGCCATGCAGGAACGGAGAGGAGTGTCATATATTCTCCCCCTATCTAGATCTAGGATGGGGATGGTGGAGGAGTGCAGTGCCTCTAAGTGAACACAAGTTCACTTAAAGGCATAGTTTAGACTTGCGGTTGGAGGGCAGCGAAAATGTGAGGTAGAGATGCGTTTTTGCTGCACACCATCTGCTGCCCCCCGCTCAAGCTGCAATAGGCAGCGGACTAGGATGTTTACATATTCACCAGCACACCAAGGATCTTCAAATGTTTTCCAAAACCTTTATTGCAGAAAGATCACATCACAAAAGAACAAGTGCAATGTTTCGGAGCTATGCAGGACCCCTTCTTCAGGCATGTAAAGTGATCTTTCTGCAATAAAAATTTTGGATAACATTTGAAGATCATTAGTGTGCTCGCGAATATCTGCATTGATCCGTGATGTTTCCAGTATACAGCTGGTAGACACTGCGATGGGAATATAGATAATATGAGATGTTTACATGCCACGATGGTTCCCTTCGTGGCCACGACAAAGTTGACCCGACATGTATTGCTTGCCGCCCGCTAAAAGCTACACATGCAAGTCAATGGAAAAGCACAGCAACTGCATACAATGCATGAGGTTGTGGTGCAATTTTTTTGTAAAGTTGTCAAATCCTGATTAGAAAATCCTGTTTCCAGCCAGCAGCATACCGTAAAGAAGGATTCTTGCTCTCTGTGTGGAAGAAGTGGTCTCAATGCAGAGATCAAACACACTCCCTACTGAGTCACAGTTATACTATCCACACTATTACCCAAAACCGAGTCAGCCAAAAACTAATATTTTCAGAAGGAGTTAACAAGGGTAGATTTAGATGTGCACAGGGGCGGACTGACAACTCATGGGGCCCCCGGGCAATAGGGGATCATGGGGCCCCTGTGTCCTTGCCCAAACTCAAAAAAGTCAATGAAAAAGGTACCAGGGGCATCTCATGGGGCCCCCTACTGACCTCGGGCCCTCGGGCAGTGCCCGAGTCTCCAAATGGTCAGTCCGCCCCTGGATGTGCATCTAAATCTCTTTTGCCTCTGAAGCATGATCTGCGTTAGGATCATGCTCCAGATTCTCCTGACAGACAGTGAGGAAGCAATTTAACGCCTCCTAACTGCTTGTTTTAACCCAATTTTTGCTAATAAACCCTGTAATGTACCCCCTTTGTTTGGAATACATTTAGCTGATTTAAAAGTGTATCTTTAAGCAAATATTTGAAGTTGTCCCCAGAACTAAAGATGAGGGTAGATCTTCCAGAGGGAACACTTGTTCAGGAGACACGTGTCTAAGAGGAGTATTCCCCTCACTTCTTGCGATTTCCATTATCTTCCTATGGCATCTCCGGGATAATCAGAGAAAGAAAATGTCCTCAATGGCACAAAACCCACAAACAAATATGACCTGGAAGGGGTTTAAATCTTTCCCTACTCTATCCAGAAAAAAAGTTTTAGTGATATATACAATTTGAACTGAAAGTTTAGTTGGGCTGTCAGAAGAATTCTGGTTCTGGGTGAATGAAAGCATTGAACTCTTTAGATCTTCATAACAGTCAGGAGAAAGTAATTTCCAAATGTATAGCTCAGCAATGGAAGCCTATATATTTTCTGAGTACAGATTTCCTTTTTCTCTATAACATCAGCCTCATTTCTTGCAGTTAGAGATAAAGGGAGGCATTTACTGTAGGCAGGTATTACTGATAACCAGGCATGGCAATCAGCCCGCTCCACTCACTACTCTGCTGGGTACAGGAGGACTTGCAATGAATTCATGAATACATCCTTATTTCACACTGAGGCCTTATATACACTGTATATCCTACCAAGGGCACAGGAAACACTCGATTTCCATTTGAACAGCCAGAACCAGTTTAAAAAGATTCTATAGAATGTCATTACCAGCTTTCATAGATACTTATGTGTTGCTTTTTTTTTTGGTACTTGAACCTCTGACTCTAACATAGCATTAAAATGACGTCAAGAGATAAGTCCATAGATGAAGCTGTACAAAAATACAATTCTAAACCAGTGGTGTAACATGGGTTGTTGGCATCCAGGGCAAGGAAAGTAATTTGCGCCCCCTAACCCATGGACGTTTAGCACTTCCTGAGTTCCTTGTACTATGGCAATGATTTGGGGGAGGTGGAGGCGGATGGGTCAGTGCCTAGGCTCCTCAACTTCTAAGGTCACCTCCTTTCCCATCTCCTTCAGCACCTGCACCAACTGGTCATGGATGGCCATCCAGAGAGGGGGTGTGTGTGGGGTAGAGGTAGGTAGGTAGGTTGAGGGGATAGGTGGGGTAAAGGTAGGTAGGGGGTTTAGGGGGGTAGAGCTAGGTAGAAAGGTGGGGTAGGTACCTAGGCTCCTCACCTGCCAGGGTCACCTCCTTTCCCTCCTTCTTAAGCATCTGCTCTGCCTGGTCATGGGTGGCTGTCAGGAGGGGGGAGGTAGGGTGGTAGAGGGAAATAAATAGGCAGGTGGGTGTTAGAGGTAGGGAAGTAAGTGGAGGAGAGAAGCAGGTTGGGGATGGGGATAGAGATAGGTAGGTTGAGGGGGTAGAGGGAGGGAGGTAAGTGGGGGGTGGTAGAGGTAGTGGGAAGGGTCAGTGCCTAGGCTCTTCACTGTTCAGGGTCTCCTCGTTCCCTGTCTTCTTCAACACCTGCACCACCTGGTCATGGATGGCCATCCAGAGGGGGGGGGGTAGAGGTAGGTAGGTTGGGGGGGGGGGGGGGTAGGTGGGGTAGATGTAGGTTGGGGGGAGGGTAGAGGTAGGTAGGTGGGTGGGGTAGGTACATAGGCTCCTCATGTTCTTTGGTCACTGCCTTCCCCACCTTCTTCAGCACCTGCACAACCTGGTCATGGGTGGCTGTTGGGAGGGGGAGGTAGGTGTTAGAGGGAAATAGGTAGATGGGTGGGGGTAGTAGTAGGGAGGTGAGTGGGGGAGAGAAGTAGGTGGGGGTAGAGGTAGGTAGGAGGTATAGAGAAGTAGGTGGGTGGATGTGGGTGAGGAAGAGGCAGGTAGGTGGGTGAGTGTGGTAGAAGTGAGTAGGAAGGGTCAGTGCCTATGCTCCTCACCTTCCAGAGTCACCTCCTTCCCTATCATTTTCAGCACCTGCACTGCTTGGATATGAGCTGCTCATAAAACAGAGCTGTGACAAGCACTCATCATGAGTGCCTGACTATGCTTACCATTTCCTCCATTCATAGAAGCTGGTACTACAGCGTAGTTGTAATACGAGATTTCTGAATAGAGGACGGGTGGATGTATAAAAGGTCCTGCCACTCTGTTCATAAATCACGTTTCATTCATAAAAGCTGTAGAGTACTGGCGTCTATGAATGGAGGAGGGGGGGGCATAGTTGGACACTCTTGATGAACGTCTGTCACAGTTCCCGTAGTTTTATTAACCCCTGCTGCATTGGAAGATTATGGAGATGGGGGCATTGGAGGAGGAGGATTTCAAAGAAAGTAGAAGCCAGCAACTCAATGGACACAATGGATTCATAGTAACTACTGCCCCTTGTGCTGATTTTTTTTTTTATTTTGACTAAACTTAGGCTTTAAAACATATTTCCATTTTTGCAGTCAAATTTGAGAAAACCTCACTATATGTTTGTTATGCGTTCCCATTGTGTGCACTCCTCCACTCCTGCCAGATCCATGCTGTGCCACTCAGAGGAAGTCACACAGTCACCATTGCAAACCCTTTGGGCAGGTCCCTTCCATGGCCTTTTTACAGCAACAACAATCCCTTTTTAGGAACCATATCCCTCTGTATCATTTTCTTCTTTCTTTGTCCATTTTGGCATGATGTGTAGAAGGGGTTCCAAACCACCGTCCTCAAGTATCCCCAAAAGATCATGTTTTCAGAATTGCCTTTCTCTCGCACATGGGCTTTAAATCAAAGTCAATGGATTGGTACTGATGATATCTATTTCATCTAAGGGATATTCCCAAAACATAGCTTGTGGTTCCATGGGCTACTTGAGGACTGAGGTTGGAACCACGGGGGTAGATCAAACATATTGAAAATTCTGTTTAAATGTATAAGCATGATGGAGCTTTGGTGGCCTTGTTGCAGGCATCTGTGAAGCCACTGGTGGTTCAGTCCAACAGAATCTACCCATGTTTGGGTGAACAGACCCACTACCAGGAGCCTCAACATACTGAGATCAAAGGAACGGGTCTGCCTATAAAAAATAACTTTTGTGAAAGTTGCAAAACTTTTTTCTATACTAGAATATTCCAGATGTCACCCCCAATCTTAATCTTACCTTATTGACCTCTTCCAACCTCATTTCTTGCTGTACCTTCAGGATCCCAAAGGCTTTCCCACCTAGAAAATTAAGGGTGATATAAATAACAATGGCGGGGGAACTCATTTCTCAACAGAAATTCATTAAAGTGTATGTATAGCCACAACTTTGTTTACATTTTGAGGCCCCATTCACACTAGGGCATTTTGAATCGTGGGCAGAATTGCCACGATTCTTCCCATGATTTCAAAACGATCTGCTAAAATGACAAATCGCAGAACCGCGTGTTCAGGTGCCATTCATTTTAATGACACCTGAAAACGCAATGTGATTCTGCCACAGTTGTCGCATGATAAATCGTGCAAATTGTGGCGACGCGTGTCACCCTAGTATGAATGAAGCCTTCGAGTAGGGAAAGGTTAGAATGCCCTATTAAGATTTTTGCTCTGTGTGTTCCCACTAGGTATATCGATCCCTCTATTTGTTTGGTGACATTGACAATGTTGGATTTCTCAGTGACACCAGAACAGGAGGTAAGAGGAAAACTTTTAATGAGGACACTTGTTCTGGTGACAACTAGGAAAAGAATTCCCCCACTTTGGTAAAAATTCCTATTACTTTCCATAGGGCTGGGCCAAATGATAGGCAGTAAAGCCACCTTGGGCACTTCAACAGGGAGGGGTGTAACCTATGCTGCCGAAGTAGTTCAGAGCTCATGGATTTGGGGGAGCTCATTGGCTTTTTCATTGTGGGTGCTAAAGAACAATGTCCCAACAATTACTTCCTGTTGCTCCTACAGGACAGGAAGTGATGGGAAATCTCCCCAAATGGAAATAAAAATAAGCTTGTATTATGAGAGCATCCAAGAGTCCAAAAGACTATAATAATAGTATTGATTCATACAAATTCACAAAGACATTACAAAGCAGCAAACACAATTCGGGGGCTTAAAAACCTTCTTCTTCAGGACTACAACACGGACATTAAAACATATGAATTTCTGTAGGGGTTCATTTAAAAACTGGAGCATATCAAATGTTATATAATATCTAAATACAAGTTGACATAGAATTTTGTATATTATTTAGAAATTCTATACACTTTGATACACTCCAATTTTACATGAATCAATATAGAATATTATGTGTTCGTGTCTGAGTCATAGCCCTGAAGAAGGTCTATGAGCTCCCGAAATGTGTTGGAAATTCTGTCTTGTCATTTGTGAGTCAATCCGATTATTAAAAGTTTTTGGACTCTTGGACTGTTTGTTTGGTGTCCTCATTGCACGTGACTCAGTAGGACTTCAAATTTGGGCCCCTTGTTGGAGGAACATTTTTTCAAGATCTGTCTCATCTCAGCCATTCTGCCTTTATGGCCACTAGGAGCATACTTATTTCCTATGATAGCATCATCTAGTGCAAGGGGTGCTCTGCTTTTTGAGGAGCAAGAGCCACTTAAGTTATGTGGTAAGCAGTTGCGGGCCACAATGAAACGAAATGGTTCAGAATTTTGAATTTTTTATTTTGAATAGCAGCCACTGAATGCTGGTGGGAAGAAGAGGAGTAGCTGGCTTTCAGCGGTTGCAGGGGGAAAATGGAGAGGATCAATTCCTGTATATGCTGCCTCCGCCACCCTTCTGGTCCTAGTGTAAAACAGAATGTAACAGGGAGGCCGCACGGGCCCCCTGGAGCATGGGGTGGGGTTGCCATTTCAACCCCTGAATTTACACTCCTGATGTCTCAACTATGGGGTTTTACTGCC